AACCTTTAGAAGAAATATATTACTTGGGTTACTACAAGGAGGTGGGTTCCTTTTTGTGTGTGTGTGTGTGTTTTTGTCAGCTGACAGCTTTTAAAATATTATTTCGCTAGGGAAATAAAAGCTTCATCTCAGATTATAGGTGGGTATTTTTGGATTTATGTGATTTATGGTCACCATGACAACTAATGCTGAATGTTAGCTACCAACATGTCTGGGAGAGAGAAAACCGAAAGAAGGGAGAGCAAGAGAAACAGAAAAAGGAGGGAGACACGAGCTGGAAAGGGAGGAAAAGAGAAAAGAGAATGAGAGAGGAGAGTTTTAATTCAACTGTTGTTTTTGTTTTTGTTTTTTTAAAAAAGTGGCTTCAGTCAGTGCCTTGCCACTTTTTTCTTTCCAGGCCTGGATATCTATGTTTAATTTCTTATTTTCTCCCTCCCTCCTTCTCTCTCTCTCTCTCCTACTTCCAAAACACATTTACGCCATACCATTCTCTGCTTTACTTAGTTCCACGAAAAGTTGCTTTCCAGAGGTTAAATGAGCGCCTAGTGAAACTGCAGCACAGCATGCAAATGTGAGGAAGCAGTAAATGCTTGCTGGTTTAGTGGTTTTAGCAAACCCTCTCTCCTCTAATCCCTCTCTCTTCCAGCACCAGTGGGGGGAGGAGACCAACTCCCACCACCACCCAAACACCCTTCCTTCAGCCAGCTACCCCAAACCTCAAGACGCTGAGCAACTTGAGCTTGTGGGACAGAAACTTGGGTGCCATTTGCAGGGACCCAGAAAGAGTGGGTGTTGCTCAGTACATCCACAGACTTCTGATTCAGAAAAAAGTCTTCCCCCTTTGCCAAACCAGCGCTTTTTTATTCCGTTTAGAGAATGGGGGAAAGCCAGCCACAGAGAAGCTTTTAATTTCTGAGTCCTTCGGTTTCATGGCTGTGGGCGGAGTAGAGCCTTCCCAGCTTGGTTTGTGTGCGTGGAAAAGCCAGGCAGAGGAAAGAGGGGAGGGAGGCAACTTCTTGGGCAGGGTGCAAGGTCTCCAGCTGCCCTCTGTGCCTTGCACCCCGCACGCACACACTCACGCCCATCACGTGTCCCCGAGCTGAGTCCGGGCGGGCCTCGTCCTTGAGCTGGCCTGGGCTGGCCGGGCTGCGCCCCCGCCCCTCTACGGCCTGACAGCTCAAGGAGACACCTAACTGAGCCATCTTCCGCGTGAGCTCTGGAGACAGATTCTTTCCAAAAGTCGGGGCTCGCTCGGATGGGTCCAAGCCCGTGCGGGGCGGTCGCCCCGAGTCCGGCCGCGGAGCCTCCCCGCGCGCTGCCATGGCCGGAGGGACTTTGCGCAACTAACACTAACGACTGTGAAATTAAATAAGACTTTAACACTAGTAACCGGTAGCAAATACCAGCTCCAAACACGCCTGAACCCGTGTCGCCCACTTCCCTCCTCGAGGGTCTTTCTCTGAAAGAATAGAGCAGTAAAGCCCAGTTGAGACGACTTCCGATGGCTTCCGCGGACTCAAACCCTCAAACCCGCGCTAGGCTTCCTTCCCCGGCCCCGCTGTCGCCGTGCGGCACCTCCAGTTTCTCTGCACCGATCACAATGATTTTTTAAAAACTGTAATGGAAGTGGAAGTCTAGTAATTTGTATAACAAATCGAGAAGAATTCAGGTGGAGGTCACTGCAGTGGCTGAACTCACAAAATATGTACGATTTCTTGACTCTCCAGAAATCTTTTTCATGTATATGCTATGCCGGCGCACTTACAAGTCTTAGGTAGGTCAACTCTCCAAAATTTCCCGCCTCCGCCACCAACCACCGCGTCTATGGAGTTTTCATTGAAAAGCATTTCTTGGTTCCCACACACACACATACACACACACATGCCTCCTTTTCCTCATTTTACACTTTTCTGTAGAAGTCCGCCTGCCACCCGTGGGGTGAGCCTTCTTGGCCTGGGAAGAATGTCACCCAATCAGGGCTGCTCAGAGTGTGTAAAGTGATTAGGAGATTAGGAGAGTGTTGAAACTCCTGTTGGAAAAATGCAAAGAAAATCCTCACTTCGAATCAGTTGTTTAGAGAGCTACTGTGTGTGAGTGTGTGTGTGTCTGTGTGTGTGTGTAATATTAAATATATGTGAACACATATACATAATATATGGCTTGGGTTTTACTTTAATCCAAATTCTCTAGATAATTGCTTTATTCTCCACTTGACTTTAGTGGATCCATACAAGTTAAGATTCCTTATCCTTTTAGGCGTATAGGCTGCCTGGAGATTCCCAATGTCTCCCATACTTTGGCACCATGAGGAGCTGTCATGTGCCCTTTGGTTTTTCAACCACTTTGGAGGCTTGTTGAGGTCATTCATACATGTATAGTTGCCATGATGAAAGTTCCATCAGGAGAGCCCAGCCACCAGAGCTTAAATTAAAAGTCCGTGGGCTTGTGAGAGATGGGTTTAGAAATCTATAAGGTTCTCTGCAGCTTCTTAGCTGTCCGGAGTAAAGCATTTTGAAAAACACCTCAAGCTTCCAAAAAATTTTTACAGCTGCAGGGTTGGACTCTTGAAAAAGAAGGAAGGGAATATGCTCGTTACAGTGGAGAATTTTTCATTTCTTTAATATGATGGAGTCTCTTCACGAAATGAAACTTTAAGGGGCATGGTATTGTGGGAACTGAAAGTATACTGAGGCTTAAAAGAAGAAACTGGAATATGATTAGTAAACACATTGGGCAGAAAAGAGCTGGATTCATATTGACTTAGTTATAGGTCATCGGCTGGCAGTGCAATGGTAGGAAATATTTACTTTACACATATACTTTATGATCTTGGGGGAATTAGAGGAAATTCAACAAGAAAATGGCTAGAAACATTTAAAACCCTTATTTAAAAGACTTAAGCAAATTAGAGTCTTATCAGATTAAAAACCACTACAAATGTAAGAGCATTGTCTTCAATCAAATGCTTTAGGGTCTGAGAAGAAGATTCTCCGCCAAATCTCAGGGATAAAATACGTCATTTAAGCACCAGATAATGAGCAGAATGTAAATTAATTTAACCTTCTTTACCAACAGGCTGCTGGTGTAATATGTATAATTTAGTGATACGATTGCAGGACCTAATGTAGTCGGATGTATGAGCCTCAGCTAATGCAGACCTGCCACACGGGATGTGTTCCCTCTGAGCAGGTGTGTGTATGCGCAGAATAGGGTGAACAGGAGTAAAAGGTTAAAACCAGAAATGCTGATTTAAAGCTTACTATGACGAAAGTTCCCTCTTCTAGCTATATCCTTCTTAAAGCAGGATGATACTGGTAAGGAAAGACTGGAAAACAATTCTCATCTGGTTCCTCCGACTGCTCTCAAGCTGTTTAAAATGGGGGAGGAGTTGCAGATAGGGTTTGGGGGGCACAGGGCAAAGGAGAGAAACGTAGGCTGCAAATATATTTGTAGTCTGCTTCATCCACTTTGTTCCAGACTGAATATGTTTCCCAATCTTGTGAACAAGGACAAGCAGGGAGTTTCCTGAAGATGCCTCATACTGATGTTGCAAATCATTGACTGTAACGTCAAACAAATGCACATTCAGGGATGATAACACTAACTCCACAATAAAACAATTGCCAATGCAGAAACCCAGGGGAGATTAGTTTGTGCTCTCTGGCTGACCTAAGCTGGGGGACAAAAGGACTTTCAAAAATTACTTTGAATTTGTTTGCATTTCTTTCTTTACTTTCTTTGGAAATTAAATTTACTTGGAAATAGTGCTATAAAGAATTGATGTCCCCAAAGGTGATTTCTTTTTGTTTTATATAAATGAATAAGGCTTTGCTTTTCTTCATTAAGATATCTTCTAGGCTTTTCCGCCTTAGCCCACACCCTGCTACTTCTGCCTGCTTGGGTTTCAATGATTCAAGACAGCCTTGAGCTGGCTAGGAAAAGAAAATGACTGTTAAAAATTATCCTTGAAATTGGCTATTTGGCAACATTCTTAATTGTATAAAAATTCATTAAGGCATATTTCATATATAATTAGCACAAGGTTGTTGATTCTACAGGCTTTATGGATTTGAATCTGATTGATAATAAAGTAAACAAGAGCATCGAATTTAAAGCGTGGCTCTCTCGGGTTAGGACAAGCTTAATACAGTGTACAAGGAATTTGAAAGATCTAGGATATGTGTCTTAATCAACGTTAAATAGAATGGATAAGCTTTCAGCATTTTGAAAACGCTGGGTTAGGGTTTCTATTCTATTGTGTGTTTTCTGTCTGGGGACTAATAAGCATCACAGAGAACGTGATCTGAGGCGACTTTTATTCTTGCATAAATCCAGAGTGAACCACCAAGCAGTTGTTCGTTTAAAGTCAAGGTAATTTTCTTTTGACGGGTCCATTTGCTTCTCGGTTTCTAATTTATTAGCCTGCCTTTTCAGGGCTCTGTCTTCTTCGCAATTAAAGTAAAGCTTCTTCAGATTAGTGTGGCATTCACTTGACAGGCTGTTTGGAAAATTTAAGATCGGAGAGGTGATTTGTTGGTGTTTTTCAAGTTTTTTAGTTTTAAGTAGCATGTCTCCTTTTTATTCGGGGTTGGGGGGCTTTGATTGGAAATGGATGCAGTGAGACAAAAGGAGGGCGGGCTGCCTTGCTGATCCTTGCACCTTTCAGGCCTTGAAACCTGATCCTTGCACCTTCTCAAGCCTTGCACTCCCACTAGCCTCATCTCTCCTCGTCCCAACCAAAAGCCGGATCGCCTGTGGCGGGCAGGAGCCGAATGCCCGGGAGCGAGCCCGTGTAGACCCGGTGGGCGCTGCGAGGAGTTGGCCCGGCCCCACACCGTTGATAGGCGCAGACGGGACCGTCCCTCCGCGCGGCTCGGGGCGTCCTGATTGGTGCAGGGCCACGTCACTCCCGCCCGGCAGGGGCTGGGCGGAGGCAGGGCCGGGGAGGGCCGCGGCGGAGTGACGTGCGGGCCCGGGAAGCCCGCCTCTGGTTTTAAGATGTTAGGCCAACAGGGAAGCGCGGAGCCGCAGAGCCGGTCGGCCGCCCGCCCGAGCGCCCGGAGCTGAGCTGCGGCGAGGCCCGGCTGCGCCCGACGGCCCGGGCTGTGCGGGGGCGCGCTGCGGGCGCGCTCGGGGCCGCGCCGCCGCCGCCGCGAGGATCTGATATCAGCGACCTGTCCCTGTCACTCTTGACACTTCGCTGTCAGGCTGCGCGCGGGGGCGGGCGGAGCGCCGCCGGCGTTAGCTTTGCTCATTGGAGGGGCTCGGGGAGGGAGGGAGGAAAGAAGGGGTCTTTGCCCACTCTTGTTTCGCTTCGGAGCTGGGAGCCTGCTCCCCAAAGACGCGCCGAGCGGTGCTGCCCGCCCGCGTGCCATGTCTCCGTCCGCCCGCTGACTTTCGGCCTCGGGACTCTTCCGCTTGGGACTTGCCGAGGAGACGGGGGCGGCTTGGTTCGAGGACTCGGCAGGGGCTGCGTCCCCGGCTGCGCGCAGCGGCCGCCGCGGAGAAGCTCCGCGCCCGGAGCGGGGCCGGCACGGCAGCGGCGGCCGCGGGGCTCGGCCGGGCTTAGCCCGGGACCGGCGGGCGGCGCGCTCCCGCGTCCATGAACTGCATGAAAGGCCCGCTGCACTTGGAGCACCGAGCAGCGGGGACCAAGCTGTCGGCCGTCTCCTCGTCGTCCTCCTGTCACCATCCCCAGCCGCTAGCCATGGCTTCGGTCCTGGCTCCGGGTCAGCCCCGCTCCCTGGACTCCTCCAAGCACAGGCTGGAGGTGCACACCATCTCCGACACCTCCAGCCCGGAGGCCGCAGGTAAGGCGCCGCGCCGCCCCGCGGACGCTCGGGCTCTGCAGCCTCGCGCCCCTTCCCTCTGCCCCCGAGGAAGTCGCCCTCCTGGGGAGCTGGTGGGAGTGGTCGCTCTGCTGGCTCTTCCGGGAGCCGGAGTGCCGGTGACCTGCGTCCCTTTAGTTCTACCTCGACAGGCCGGGCCCGTGCGGGCCGACCGGGCGAGCCTTCTGCCGGCTTCTCCGTTTCCACCCTGGCCTCCTTCTGTTTCCTGGGTCACAAACATCCCAGCATCTCCACCCGGAACGTCCAGAGGCCGCCCCACTCCGTCCCGTTCTCTCGGCTTTTAGCCCCAGGAGCTGCGCTCATTCGTTGGAAAAGTGTGTCGGAAACTACCTAGACGTGCTCTTCGCCCGGAGGCTTTGTTTTTAAAGGGCCGGCGAACTTGGGTGTCTAACCGGGTCCCCACATCTGCTTTTCCTCCCCTCCTGAGAGTGCATCGAAATCTGAGCGTTCTCTTGGGAGGGGATCCGCGGAGCGCGCGCCTGCGTGTCGCTGGAGCTTTGGCGCGCCCGCGCGGAGGTGTATAAATATACTTGAAAGCGCGGCTGCCGAGGCGAGCGTGCCGCCGCGGGGAGATAAACATGTAAATAAAACGTGCGGCGCTGGGGGCGGGAGGCGACGGGGCGCGCACACCCACGTCCCGCGGGCCAGCGCCCCCGCGCCGCCCAGCCAGCCCTGCCGCCGCCTCCAGCCCGCTCGGGTCGGAACTCGCGGGTTGCAGGTGGGCCGGCTCGCAGGAACCTTTGTGTGGTTCGTTTTCAGAAAAAGACAAGAGCCAGCAGGGGAAGAATGAGGACGTGGGCGCCGAGGACCCGTCCAAGAAGAAGCGGCAGCGGCGGCAGCGGACGCATTTTACCAGCCAGCAGCTGCAGGAGCTGGAGGCCACTTTCCAGAGGAACCGCTACCCGGACATGTCCACGCGCGAGGAAATCGCCGTGTGGACCAACCTCACGGAAGCTCGAGTCCGGGTAGGAGCCAGCACGGAGCCTGGGAGGGCTGGGGAGGACGCTGTGGAGGTGCAGGCCGTGTGGACCGGGAGGGCGTGTGGAAGGCAGCGCGGCCCGGGAGGGAGCAGCTTGGCAAAGGCGCGAGGCCTCTCCTCCGCCGCTGGGAGCTTACAGCTCCCCCTGCGAGGCCCGCGGCGCCCCGCAGCGCCGCTCTCCGCCCCGACAGCCCGCGCCCCCCAGGCCGGGCCGCGTGGGCACAGCCTGCACTGGGCATCGTGCTCAGACCTTGCAGGCCCCAGACAAGAGCTAGTCAAATCCCTCCCGGGCCAGGAGCAGCTAACAGGCTCCAACCTGTGCGCTTTTAACGAGGAAACCGCCGGAGACGCGCAGGGGTCGGCCCTCCCAGGGAAACTTCCGCCCAGGCCTAGCCCGCTTCTCCTCTCCGCTCGAGCCCCATACACGGGTTTTGCGGTTTTTTCGGCTATTCAGGTCTCTCCCACACACTATTCCCTGGTTTTGTGATCTCCGGAAGCAAAGTTTTGATACACAACTATTATTCTGCCAGTCCTCTTAGAAGAAAAAAGAAGAAAGACTTTTCCGTTTGGTTTATTTATCTTCCTTCAGGAGTCGAACTCTTTGAAGATTGATACTTACACCCCTCCTATCATCATAGTTTTTATAAAAAGGGCTTACCTTAACTTTGTAGCAAATCTGCACTTTATGGATTGGCAAAAATGAGCTTAAATAAATTACCCAATAGCAACGTCTTGGTTTGTGCTGGTCGGTGGGAAATTCCAAATTTGTTAGGAGTCTAGAAGCAGAAAACAGAATCCAGCAGCACCCGGAGGCTTTGCTCTTAAAAAATAAAAGTGCTCTGGATAGAAAAATAAAGCCCCCAGTTTGAGCAGAGAAAGCAAAAAGAAGAAAAGAGATAATGATGATAAAAATAATAAAGATCAAATTGTGCTCCCACGGCAGAGGGAACAAAGACTCTGGCTGGCGTCTGTGCGGGTGTGAGGCTATGCCGGCGGATAAAAGAGCCTGGCCGGAGTTGGAAAAGGTTTTAGTTTAACTGCCCAGAGCCAGCGCTCAGGCCGGCGGCCTCGTGGTTGTGCGCAAGGTCAGGCCTTCCTTGGCCCTCCTGCGCATCCCAGGAACGGGCCTCGCACGTACTCTTCTCGCCTGGGCAAAGTTTAGATGGCCTAGGGTGGAAATGACAAGCAGTTAAAATGAAAACACAACCTGTGGGTTTTCTGGAATCCTGTGGAAAAGCCCTCCCTCCCCGGCCCCCTGCAGCCGCGGTGCTGGGCTCTCCTGCGCCTGCCGCCTCGGGGAGGTGGCTCGTCCAGCCCGGTGGGAGTGAGGCGTGCTTTTTATAGCAGTCGGGAGCGCAGAGGAAGGGGGGTGAAAAAGAAATCGAGAATGAAAGGAAAAAGGAAAAAAGCGGATTAGGAGGCAGGGCCCGGTGGAGACGTGTAATGTGAAACATCTCCAGTGTCAGCTCGGAGACCTCAGGCCAGGCCTCGCTCCAATACACAACAGCCGCCGTCTGCAGCGACGCGGCCGATGTGGATTGGGAGCGGGGTTGCGGCGGGGCCGCTGGATGTGGGTGGGGGCAGGCCAGCCGCGGCACCCGCAATACCACGCGGGCGGAGGGCGAGAGGGGCGGAAGGGAGGGCGAATCTGCAGGCCTGCCCGGTTGGGGTTCCCATAGTTTCTACGCCAAGCTCCTTGCGTTAACGAGCTGACGGGGAGGGGGCTTCTGCCTTTTTTTTGGCTGTTTCGCTAGGCGAGGAAGGGTGTCCCCGCGGCCCTTGTGGAGGGAGTGCGTTCCACAGAGTGGGGGCGACGGGGAGGTCCGCGGGGTGGGGGAAGGGAGGAGCTGTCCTCTGGTGCCCTCCCAGCCCCGGGTCCTCATCACTGGGCCTGTGGCTTTGGAATGGAAGCCAGTCTGCAAGGTGGCCGGGAAGGGTTGGGCGGGAGGCCTGCTGCCCAGCGTTTATTTGGCAGTAAGTGTTTTTGGACCCAGAGAAAAGCCTGGGTTAGTGATCGAGCGGCCCGCAGGCCCCTAGGCGTCCGGCTGGGGTTTGTGGCGCCGCTCAGAGCACAGCCCGCAGGTCGGCGGAGCGACCGGCTGGGCCAGGCTCGGGCTGGGGCTGGGGACCGGGAGCTGGCCCGGGCGGCTGCGGCCGGCGGGGCCGCGGGGGAGCGGGGCGGCCGGGTGTGTGCGTGCGCGCGCTTGCGTGCGTCGTGCGGTGCTGGCCTCCGCCGCTCTCCGGGATGGAGGTTTTATTAATTCGCGCTGTGGAATCTGTTTGCTCCCTTGCCCCAACCGTCCCCAGGTTTGGTTCAAGAATCGCCGGGCCAAATGGAGAAAGCGGGAGCGCAACCAGCAGGCCGAGCTGTGCAAGAACGGCTTCGGGCCGCAGTTCAACGGGCTCATGCAGCCCTACGACGACATGTACCCAGGCTATTCCTACAACAACTGGGCCGCCAAGGGCCTCACGTCGGCCTCCCTGTCCACCAAGAGCTTCCCCTTCTTCAACTCTATGAACGTCAACCCCCTGTCGTCGCAGAGCATGTTCTCCCCGCCCAACTCCATCTCGTCCATGAGCATGTCGTCCAGCATGGTGCCCTCCGCCGTGACGGGCGTCCCGGGCTCCAGCCTCAACAGCCTGAATAACTTGAACAACCTGAGCAGCCCGTCGCTGAATTCCGCGGTGCCAACGCCCGCCTGTCCTTACGCGCCGCCGACTCCTCCGTATGTTTATAGGGACACGTGTAACTCGAGCCTGGCCAGCCTGAGACTGAAAGCAAAGCAGCACTCCAGCTTCGGCTACGCCAGCGTGCAGAACCCCGCGTCCAACCTGAGCGCCTGCCAGTACGCCGTGGACCGGCCCGTGTGAGCGCGCCGCGCGCGGATCCAGGACGTGCCGGAGGGGCGACTCCGCCCGGGGAGACTGGGAATTACGCTAGTAGGTCGTGGGCACTAAAGAAAGGGAGAGGAAGAGAAGCTATATAGAGAAAAGGAAACCACTGAATGGAAGAGAGATCGCCTTTGATTGCAAAGAGATGTCCTCAGTGTCTGACATCTTTCACTCGAGTATTTCCGACAGTTGCAAGGACACGCACACAAGCAAGTGTTTGACTGGACATGACATTTTAACATTACTATAAGCTTGTTATTTTTTAAGTTTAGCATTGTTAACATTAAAATGACAAAGGATGTATATATATCGAAATGTCAAATTAATTTTATAAAAGCAGTTGTTAGTACTATCACAACAGTGTTTTTAAAGGTTAGGCTTTAAAATAAAGCATGTTCTACAGAAGCGATTAGGATTTTCGCTTTCAAGCAAGGGAATGTATATACTAAATGCCACACTGTATGTTTCTAACATATTATTATTATAAAAAATGTGTGAATATCCAGTTTTAGAATAGTTTCTCTGGTGGATGCAATGATGTTTCTGAAACTGCTATGTACAACCTACCCTGTGTATAACATTTCGTACAATATTATTGTTTTACTTTTCAGCAAATATGAAAAAAATGTGTTTTATTTCATGGGAGTAAAATATACTGCATACAAATTGGTCTGGATTCTTTCTGCCCTTCTCTGTCTCCTGGCCAGGGCACCCCAGTCACTGCCTCCTAAACAAACCAGTTCCCTCTGCCTGCCTAGTTAAACATACAAGGCAGCAGTACCTATTTAAATTTGGTAGAAACAAATTACAGCCGTTCATCAGAACCTAAAAAGAAAAAAAAAAGGCCCTTTCCGGGGGAAAAGGCTGCAAAGTCTGGTCTTGTCTCTCAGATTTTTTTCTTTGGCTTAAACCCAAAGGATTCCATTATTGCTAGCAAATAATATAAGAGAAAAGGAAGAAAGGAGAGAGAAATTTAGAAAGTATGCCAGCCTGGAATGACTCTCATGTTAACTCCTTTAGGGGAAACCTGCACCTCCAGTGAATTGTTCTGAAGAAATATTTGTGCATGTGTACATGTACAGTCTATATACATTCCTCTCAGGAGGAATACATCTATAATAAATTTACAAGGAAACACCTCCAGATCAAAATATTTAGGCCTCCACGTTTATCTTTCAGGCTTAAGTAGAGAGATCCTTCATGTTATATTGCATTACTATTTCCAAATCCTTTGGAGACATTAAAAGAAACAAAGACCATTTCTAATAACTACAGCCCTTCAGTTTCTCAAAGAGCCCAGGGGTTGAGAGGTTAGAGTGGAGTTTCCTGAGTCTTGTCGAGCAATATGTAGTTGAGGCAAAGGTCATGCTCCCTGTGTTTTGTTTTAAATAATATTGACCCATTAATTCTAAACCTGCTTGTTCCTGAAATTATACAGGATTATAGTTTGCAAACTGCAGGACAATGAAGCAAATCAAGATGAATTACATCCCCAGCCCTCCCTCCCATCCACTGACATCTAAACGGGGATTTGAGGCCGGTGTGAGTGTTTAAAAGAACTTTAAGCACCGCTCCTCCTTGATCGGTGGTTTTGGGCTCTTTTTTAAAAAATGTGAAATTTGATTTCATAACAAATAGACGCAAATACAGCTTAGTCCCGAAGAATTCATCACCAAGGCCCTAGGAGGATGGGGGGGGGAGTGCTAAGGTCTTTTGTTATTCTTGTCACCCATCCCCCTCCGCGCGCTCATGCACACACACACTCACACACACACACACACACACACACACACGCACACACACTCACAAACACAGCAGGCGAGGACAAACACCACGCCAGGGAACTTAGAGCGAAAAGTAGCCGCCGGTTTTCTGGAGCCGAGAAAACCTGTGTTTTTGCGCCTCGATTGCTTTTATCTGCTTGAAACTTTACCTAAAAGCTTCTGGAGCTCAAACACTGAGGCTTTGTTCTGTAAGGAACTGCTGCTGCCACTTAAAGAGATTGCAGATAATGTCCCGATTTAAGATCTGTGCTCAACGCACATTAACTTTCTTTTTCTTTTTAAGCTCTGCCTCCAACCTGCGGCGGGATCACGCGGCGGGGGCGGGGGGGCGCAGATAAAAGCCCTTTGGACGCGGGTCACCTCCGTCCTTGTTGTTCACTTGAGAGCAGTGGAGAGGAAAACGGTCCCCACGGGCGGACTTTGGCTCCTGGGGCCGCGGGGCCCACCGTGCGGGCCTCTCCGCGCCTCCGCGGGCAGGGCAGGGGCGGGCAGGGCCGAGGGGGAGACAGGGGCCGGGAGAGGGGATTCGAGGGCGGGGGCTGGAACGGCTCAGGAGACTCGCGGGGAGAGCTCGCGAGCGCCGGGGGTGCTGGTGAAGGAGGTGGAGCTCGGCCTAGTTTGGTCGCTGGAAAGTATCTACCCGGGAAATCAATCAACCTGCAGGAAACAGAAAAATGGAAGTCGAGGTTTAGGAAGAATTGTCACTTCCCCGACTTGAGTGGTGCACACTGGGGGCGGAGACTTGAGACCGAATGGAGAGGCCTTTCCTAGCACCTAAGTTCTTTGCCCTGAACTTCCAGAAGGGAGATTGTACCCTCTCCCCCGTCTTCCCCCATTCCCTCCCCGATAGCCCTTCAGGCCCCGGCCCCTGCTGCACCTCCGTGTCCCTTGGAGCTAGAAGCCCGCGGAGTCGCTCCCCGCGCCCCTGTCGCTCCCGCGCGGGGTCCCCCGCAGCCCCGCCACAGCCACCACCGCGGCTCCACTCAATCGATTTTTGCTGCATGTCAACACTTATTACCGGTGAGTGTGAGGGCATTTTTCTCCTTCTTAGGTCTCTTAATGATTTCTGAGCTAGTTGTGTATTAAAGTGCTTAAAGGAACCTTTAACGTAATCTATAGCATGAACACCGACCTCCCGCCCGGGTTCACAGATGGCTCGAGGCCGGGGCGGGCGGCGGGGACCGGGCCTCAGGGCCTCAGCCCGCCGCCCAGAGCCACCCGGAGGTGGCCCGGCCGGGCAGGGCCCCGGGGGCTTGCTCGTCCCCAGCCCCCAACCACCTGTTACTCGCTTGCGCTGTTTCTTCTCTGGGCGCCCTTGGTCTATCTTGGGGTTTTTATTCTATTTTTAAAAAATATTTAAAAATATTTCCAAGGCCCCAAACTCCTCATGCCCCGAATACTGATTTCATATTGGTGGAGACCTGGGGAGAGATGTCTACAGCCCGCGTTTGTCTCAACTTCCTCCCGGTTCCTAAATCTGAGTTTGAATGGCTACACAACTTGGTTAGAAATTTAATTTTTAGAAATCTGTTGGGAAGCCTGGGCCCTATAGGCGGATTAGGAGGCAAATCCTCTTCGTCCCCTCATTGCCCTGCTCTTTTTCTCACCCCCTCCTCTTTCTACGAGGTGCTGAAACCCGGGAGTCCTTTTAGGACTGCAACAAAAAAATTAATGGGAAAAAATAAACAGCGTCTTAAAAGTCCCGATATTCCTCGAAAGCCCCATAAATTAACCCTATGAAGGGCGGCGAGCCCTTTTAAGGAGGGTCTATAAAAATCCCGTGCATTCTCGGTGGAGGACTACCCTGCCCCCAACCGCTGCAGCGCATGTGACCAAACAAAGGTCTGCCCTGCAATCCACATCCTAATCCACGGGCGCCCCCGCCGCCGTCGCGGCTCCCCAGCCCCCGCCGCGCAGAACCCGCGGGCTGGGCCTGGCGTCCCGGGCTCGCCGAGCTGACTTTTTTAGAGAGGATGAAAAAAGCAGGGGTGTAATCAGATCAGAGGCCTTTATGAATATAGACTCCCTATTGATTGATTTATAAACCCCCCGGCGAGCTGCAGTTAATCTAAGCACCCCGGGAAGCAAGCAACGTGGCTGCCTGAGGAAGTGCACTGGAGGAATTTCTAGGAGCAAATTTTCAGAAGGAATTTTTTTAAATACCTTTCCTTCCCCAGCCTCCCAAACAATTGCATTTTGACTGAGGTTTAGAAAATGGTAATTAACAATGAATATTTTTTAAAATATGGGTTAAATAGAAATACATAAACCGATTTACCTTTGCAGGTTTCAGCAGACAACACCCGGGAAATTTTAATCTTAAAAAGTTATCACTCTTGCCCCGTCCCTGCCGGCCCCACCCCGTCCCCAAGGGAGGACTCCTCATTGTTGACTCTATCTGAAAAGATAGAAACCAGAATATTGTGTTTGGGATGCATAACTTCATTCACGTCCATGCTGAGTATTTTATGCATTTTATGTAAATGTTGATTTTAGATTTTGTTTAAAGTCCCACAAGAAATAAAATACCACCGAAGACGTATTTCATTCTACTTAATTACTTTTTTAAAAAACCATTTCTACTTTTGTGACAACGCATTGTTAGCTGTCCAGTGGCAGTTGTGGAAACCAGGAGTTACTTGAAGCTCAAGTTATTCAGCAGAAGAATGGCTAAAAGCCATCTGAATTCCTTATAAATTTAAACAACATTTTTAAAACATTGAATGAATATATGGTAAATGTGTTTACTTTGGGGTGGTATGAGGGAGGGATTGCATGCTTTTTCTTCCCTCTGGAGGACTGAGAGAAGTTCAGACTCCCGGACCCGCCCTCAGCAGGGTGTGCGTCTGTGCCCAGTGACTTTGATGGATCTTTCCAGACCTAGGCCTTCTAGTCTTCTGGCAAAAATGTTTAAAATGCTTTCCATCCCTCCTGCTCTCTCTTTTTCTTCCCCATCTTCTCTTTCTCCTGTTTTGTTTGTCCATAGCCAAGATTTTGTCTCCTGTTTTGTTTTTCCCCTATTCAAGCAACTTAGAAGATGGCCCCGCTAACGCAGCGCCCCATGTGCCAAGGCAGGGCGTGTGGCGGTCCCCCTGCAGCCCGCTCGCTCACCAAAGCTTCCTCCCCCAGGAGCAGCAAAGCGCTCTGCCTCGCAGACCAGGAACCTTTATCCTGGTCTCTCTGGGAAGATGAGACCTGGAACCTCCCCTGCTGTCCCTGAGAAAGCGACGCGGCAGCATATCCAATGTGACTTGGAACTCAGACTAGTGGCAGCTCAATTCTTGGGCGCAGTTCCCCACTCTGCCTGTGTCAACAGTCCCCCAAACTCTGCTTCTTTGGGCAGGTATCAATCGCTGTGGGGTTGCCGCACCCAGTAGAAGCTTGATGGCATCTTACTCTGTCCTCCAGGATGGACTGGCAGGGCCTTCTGGGTTGTCACTTACTGAGGCGCCTGCATTTGGTTGACCACTGGCCACCCTGGTAGCTTCAGCCCGCTGTGTGCGGGCGAAGGGGAGGAGGGGAGAGGGCGACAGGGAATACCGACAGGGACAGAGGCGGGGACCCTGCAGGCCATGCCCAGCGCTGAGGAAAGGCTTTGCCTGCCGGAGCCTAGGGCTACAACAGACTACGCATCGCTTTTTTAGAAAATAAAATAATATCCAACAAAAAAAAGTAAAATAAAGTCCCCTACTCCTGGCGCTGGGCCTCAGGCGATGGTCCTCCAAGGGACTACTGACCTCAACATCTCCAGCCCCTGCTAGAAATCCGGGAAATTGAGGGAGCCGTTCTTATCTGCTGAGGTGGTGTCTTGTCTGTTTCTCTAACCAAAAAAAAAAAAAAAAAATCCTGCAAACGCGGGGCTGCAGCTCCGGGCTCCGGCTTCCCGGCGGAAGCTCCCCAGCCCGGAGCCCGCCCGGCCTGCCAACCGCCGCGCGCGAGCGGACGCAGTTTGGAGGGCCGACCTAGATCTTTTGGAGCCCCGAATCCCGGCGGGCCCACGCGGCCCAGCTCCCAGAACGACCTGAGCCACCCCATGGTGGCTTTTCCTAGGTCCTCATTGGCCGCCTGAACCGTGGTTTGGGGACAACTGCATCCCACTGCTTTCCATTGACCAGAACAGCTGCTGTATCTGAACCTTCATTTTCCTGGCGGGTGGCTTGAGAGAAGGCCGGGGACATGGGAAGATGTGCTTCCTCCTTTTACCTGACAGTATTTTCGGAGGCGCTGGGAGAAGAGGGAACACGAAGGCCACCTACGCACCTCCGGGTCGCCCTCTGGGTCCCGGCGCTCAGTGTTTGCAAGTCCCTCCGGACTTCAAAACCGGAATCTAATCTGCAGCTGCTGCCGCCCCCCGCTTCCCGCCCGCGTCCCCGCCCTGAAGCCCCTGGCCAGGCACAGAAGCCCGAGCTGGGGCCCACCGAGCGGCCTCGTGGGCAGCGCCCCGCCCCGCCCCGCGCCCGGACGCGGCGCTCAGGGCCGGCGGCCGCCTCGCCTCGCGGGCGGTCGGAGCCTCCGGGCCGCGCCCGGCCGGGGCGCGCATGTGCCCGTGTCCCTGCTCCTGGAGTCCCGCAAAGGAGCCGCGGAGCCCCCGCCACATCCCCTCTCACCCCTGCGGGCCTCCGCGCCTCCTCTCCCGAGCGCCCTTACACCTTGAAGGGGTCATCCCTGCCGGCCTCCTCCGCCCGCCTCTCGGAGCCGGGGTTGAACATTAACCGGCCCGAGCTGTAGACTGGGGTAAAACGTTACACATAAACGTGAACCGTCTATCCGGTCCCGGCCGCGAGGACCCTCCCGCAGCCACTTCCCGGGACGGTCAGCGCAGGCGGCCCCCGACAGGTGAGCGCCGGAGGACCGGGTCGCCGAGCCGCCTTTCCCCTGGCCGGCCCGAGGTGAAGAGAACGTCCTTTCTGCTCACTCCTGAGAAAGGGCGGAACCCGGTTTCCGTCTCCCATAAAGTTTCGTGGGAGCGGCCGGAGTCTAGGGGGAGCTGCTGCCCACAGGCCCGAGAAAGGTCGCCCCGCTGCCAGCCGGGGAGCCGGGGATGGCACCCGGGCGGCTCGGGCGTGGCAGCAAGAGCCTGGAACCCCGGCCCGCAGCCCGAGGGAGGCGCGAGGTGGGCGGCGCAGGCGGCTGGGGGCTGAGACCGGCCTGAGCTGGCCCCGGCTGCGGCCACGCGCAAGCCCTGACCCGGGGTCGCGCCCAGATCCTAGGCTTCTGTCCCGATCCCGCCCCCAACTCGCCTGGGCCCTGCCTCTTTCCGACTGGGACCAATTTTTTTCTGTAAACACAAGTAATCAAAAGTGACAGTGATACTTCTGCACTGGCTTACAGGCCAGGCCCACGTGCCCGGCAAATACTCGGAATTCATGAAAAGGTGACAGAGCTGCAGGGAGAATCCAAGGCAGTGCACCTCCTGCGCTCTTGTGCCTTCGCCTGGAAACAGCAGTGACTCAGGGCCCAGCAAATTCCTGGATGGGAAGGTGATTCTGTTTCTGTATCTCTTTTTCCCCCTGCCTAATCCTCTTTCCCTCCTCCCCCATTCAAGAAAAGAGAGAAAGTAGGCGCAAGCTGGAGAAAGATGTGATGTGACATAGACTTTCAGGAATTGCCAACCAACATGGAGAATAATTTTTATGCCACTTGAGAAGGTTGGTTTATTTCTTATGTAAAGTAGTTGTTTATTTAAAATGTAGTGCCTGGTCCATGATAACTTCTCAGTAAACCTTTTTTTTGAACAGGTGGCACGCTCCCCCTCCCAACCTGGACCCTACCTCTGGCCTGTTTATTAAACCAGCAGAATTTTTGCTGGGAGCAGGCACCGAGGTCTTTGTGCTTAGGGGTGTTACGAAGTAGCTGGGGTGCTGTGCACAGCCGGCATGAACTCGGCGTCATCCCATCACCCTCACGGTCACATCTTTGCTTCCTCAGAGGCCACTGCTGCTTCTTCGGTGTGTTCAGAGCCTGTATAGCGAACCTGAGAATTTCTGGCAGGGGACGGAGGGTGGTAACAGAGACATGCAGTGAACAGGTTTTTCAGAGACTCAGCAGGCATCCGGCGTGTGGTGAGCACTGTGTATATGTATTCATTGGATGTCACCAGTCGGTTCCCAGGGAAAATGGCTTTGCATTTAAAATGTGGTTACAGAGTGTTCATCACTTCATGTAGTGTTGCTGCTCTAACTTCAGTGTGCGCAATGTTCTATGTCATTTCCGTAGAGCAATGCAGCCCAAATTTGTCATCACCCAACTTTGGGTTACTGCACTCTCCCAAGAAAAATAGAATTGACTCAAATGTTCCACCAATTAGCTCTAGAGAGACAATGAACACATCAAAGCAAATAAATAGAAAGAGGTATGAATCTCACACTCAGTTGCCCTTCAGTGACTTAGAGACACAGGGAAGCATAGGTGAGGAAGGGCATTTACATTTAAAGGGGAGTAGCTGGGGAAAGAAGTATTATAAGGGGTATTGCTGCATTCATGCCAACTGTCTTCTCCCCCAACCAAATTACCATGTTATCTGACACCCTCGATCTATTTGTGTCCTGGGTAACAGACAGTTTGACCAAGAGGTCACAGACTAGAGGGCTGGGGTGATTGGAAACAAGTTTGACAAGAAAGGAATCTGGGTGGGGTGCCACCATGGAGGAGGAGAGAGGAAGAAGCCTAGCAACTCGGAGTCTCTGCTGGACCCTGTATTTGCATAAAGCGCCTTGTCGAGGATGGGGACTGGGGGTAGCTGTCAACACAGCTTCATGGCTGCAAGAAATGTAAGTCTTTTTCTACATCCCTTTCCTTCAACTTCCTTTTATTTCCTACCTTCTTCGTTTCCTCCATTTGCCCTTCCCTAGAATTCTGGTTGCTCCTGAATTATCCTCTGCTTGTCCTCTCTTTTGAATGATGGCTTCAGATCGTTTTTAGTGTCCACTTTTAAGTTATGCAAGTTGTTTTATTCAATCAAGAGTAAGTTGTTTGTATTTGTGAGTACAACAGTAAAGGCTTCAGGACCAATAAGCACACAATATTGAAAGCTGTCTTTTCAGAGCATAAGGGGACTGTGCACACTCTTTAACAAAGCCCACTGCAGGCAAGGTAGACTGGGGGGCGGAGGAGCACACTCCCTTCACCCCAGGCAGCACACCCCTGGCCTTCTCACCACCCCAAAGTGGGAGGTCTCAGTCCAGTTTACCATTGTTATCTTGGAAGCTTCTCCTCCCTTGAAACTACCACCCATGGACTTGCACGCGTGGTCAAAATTATGTGTTCCAAGAAAACACAGAAATAGTCTTTCATAGATTTTATGTGCTAACATGAGTTCCTCTCTGCATCTCTCCGTATAAATGCACATGTTTTTCTTGTGCTGTCTCCTCTTATTATTGGATCAACTGTATTTTATGGTGATTTTTTTCCCTTTTGGGATTGGGAAACTCCATTGTCATCTTGCAACTCTTTTGGATTAGAACTTGGTCGAAAGATATCTTCTCTTCCACAGAAGGGCTGTTTTACCCTTCATTAGCTCCTTGTTTTCCTTTCTAGCATCCTTCAAAATTTCCCTTAAAGGTAATTCTAAATTTCACGACTTCCCCCTCTTTTACTTTTAAAATTTCATATCTGGACACTTATTATTCCCATACCTCAAAACTACCTTTCATCCATATTACTTCTTTGGCAATTGTCATATGGGGTGTTTTATTATGAGTTAAGATTTTGGGCATCGTTTTTCTTTTTTCTTTTTTTTTTCTAGCGTCTTGTGGGAGCCAGGTGAATGCCTGGTAAAATAGTAGATGTTCAATAAATGTCTGTTTATCAAATGCTATAATTAAAAGCTTTGTTCACAAAAATAAAAGTTCAAAGACATTAAAATCTATTGAATTGGCATGAATTAAATCTCAGATTTATTCTAATTAATTTCTTAATCCTTTTCCTAACAAATTAGACATGTAGAAGAATTCTATAGCAGAAATTCCATCTTAGTCTTTTTCATCAACACTACCAACATCTCTACATCAGTGCATTTTTAGGATGATGAACCATGATCCGGGTTCATAAGATATTGGACAAATTTTAATATCTCTTAAAATACCTACAATAAAATAAAGAAGTTTTTTTTTTTTTTTATAAATCTAGTTTGGGGACTATGTGTGGTAAGGGAAGTAGAGAAAGGTGTGTGTGTGTGTGTGTGTGTGTAGAAGTGTGGGAGACATGTGGATGACATAGAAATTTCCAGCCCGAAATTATCCAGGATCATTTTAGTAGTTAAGGGATTATGATGTCCTATCCTCACAATCATTTTACACTTTTAAAAGTTTACTCTTCCCATTCATAGTAAAATATAGTGTATCGAAATATACTGGACCAAGTTGTTTTTCCATTCTTATAGTTAGAAATAAGGAAACCTAAGAAATTAAAAATATTGGCCCCAAAACAACAACAACAAAAAGATTTAATTCAATCAGACTTTGATTAAAGGCATAGACCAAACAAAGTTTTGTGCACTAGGTCTTACATATTTTTGATGAATTTATTGGTGGCAAAATATTTCTTAGAATGCTTACCTACCATAGCCACTCCCACCTTCCAGCTATTCCCATAAACAACAAACTAAACACACTGCACCAGAAACAATGGGAACGGTGGTGTTACCTTTGATGAAACATCTATGAAGCATTTAGTAACTCAATATATTGCAGAAAAAAATGTTTTACCTTATTGTGCTAAATAAATTAACCTAAAAAATACATACATGAACAAACAAGTCAAATGGCAGAGCCCAGAACTATAGAGAATGACAATGAGGTGGTTTTGCGGAGCTTTCTAAGGGCCAGTCTGTGGGCACACGCACTGGTCCTGCTCACGCTGTTGCTGAGGGGCAATACAGGGACAGGTAGATGACTGGGGATTTGGAAATCCAAGGGGGAGGATGTGACAGACTG